GGGGTGTAAGGGAGATGGAATATTTTGCTATCACAAGTAACAACTACAATTTTACACATCTGTTGTCTTGGTGTTTGATGGATGTAATATATGGCATGCAAGAAACTCTTAGTCTGATTTTTTTCTACTGTCATCTTTCCATCTGTGTTGTATTCATTAGGGAATTTATTTATTTATTTTATTTATATATGGAAGAGTGTGAGGTGGTTGAAAGATTTTTTTCTTTTAGTGTAGTCAACTATCTAGCTTTAAACTCATCCAGCTTCCAGATTTTCTGCCTGCCATAAACAGAACATCTTTAGAAAAAAATGGTATCCTTTAGTCGTTGAGGCCACTTGGAATTGTGTCTGTGTCCTCAGGGTCACCTGAGTAGTGCAAATGGGTGTGGAGCCTTCTTGGAACTGCTGAAAGGACTGTGTTGTGGAGCTGTGCTTTCTGCAGGATGTTTTCTGCCCTGTATCCCTTCACTGTGAACACAGGTGCAGGCTGTGTTGTCTCCATCTCAAACTGAAATCATAGTGAAGGGACACAGGGCAGAAAACGTCCTGCAGAAAACACAGCTCCACAACACAGTCCTTTCAGCAGTTCCAAGAAGTCTCCACACCCATTTGCATTACTCAGCTGACCCTGAGGACACAGACACAATTCCAAATGGCCTCAATGATTCTCTGAAAGAATACAAATGACCAGCTGTCTGCAAGGAATATAAATACTTCCATTTCCCATCATCCAATCAGAGCTGAAGAAGCTTCTTGGGTGAGAAATGAAACATCGTCCAGTTGCCTCTTGAAAAAGCACCTTTGGGACAAAAGGATGTTAATATTACTGGACCTATGTTCTTGTTTTCCACAAACAGCATCTTGATATTCTTGCATTATCTCTATATCTGAGCTGTGACTATTGTTGCTTCTTCCTTATTATTCAAACTAATGTGGGGCATTGAGAATCTGCTGCTTCTAGTTCCATCATCTTCATACAAGACCCTTTTTTTTACTTCTCCTTGGGCTCATTCATGCTATTCATATGGAGATTGAAAAGTTTAAATTCAAGTCTTCAAAGCATGCTGAGGATTATGAAAAAGCCATGAATTGTTCTCTGTTTTGCCTCTAAAGAGGACTCATTCTTTTTCCTACTGAGCCTTAGTCATAGTTGAGCCATTTAAAGTGACAAAATACCCTTAGAGCTTCTAATCATTTTTTCTGTTTCTGGTTTGGAGGGTGAAGGCTATGCAACATGGCCTTGTTCACATGACACAATTAGCAGTGCCAGGATGTCCATAAACTCTCACATGCAATTAACTGATCCACTGATTACCCCTTAAGTAGTTTGTTTTAGTTCCAAACACACTGAGACTAAAATAAGGTCTTCCAAACTTCTCTGTCTTTTTTGAGTCCTAAAGTGGGTCTTGTATAGCTATTCTATCTCTACTATTGTTCTGGCTTCATCTCCTTCATTGGAGCTGCATAGGAGATCAAAATGGGCAGAAAAGACTGAGATGAGCACCACTTCCATGAAACTCTAGTGGCAGTAGTGGTCCCATGCCTGCTTTCATTTTTAATCAGTAAAAGTGTTGCCTTCCAGAGGATGCATTGCCTGTACTGAAAAGACTTTGCCAAAATATGAGCATTACAGGATCCACATTTTTTTTTACTGGACAATGTAATTAAAGTGGGGAGAGTGAGATGGTGGAGTAATTTTGCTTTATCTTAATGTTTAATTTTTGCTTAAATTTTAATTAATTATATTAGGTTTTAATTAGATTATCTAATGAAAAGGCTAGCTAATCTGGCCTTTTGCTAAAGTCAGATTAGCACTTTATCTGAATGCTAATTTGGAGCCATGGATAGTTTATATGTGAAAAAAAATTAATCAGCTTTAGAATTGGAAAGATCTACTCATATATCCTTTTTCCTTAGAATAATTCAACAATTTGCTTTATTCTTATTTTTAGGAATCTGATCTGACCTTTCGTCTTGCCAGTGGTCTTGTCATTTGGCAGCCAATGTGGGAACACAGACAGCCAGAAGTCACTGCCTTTACTGCCCTTGTTAAGCCCATCAGGAATATAATCACAGGTTTGTGTGTGCATACATGATTGTGTGGTCTGTGCATGCATATATGAGTGCACACTAAATCAATATCTTTTCCATCTATATGCACACTGCAATTATTATGACTGTTGAATCAGTATAGATTTACAATATTATCTGCATTTTTTTAAATGACAGCAGTGAAGAGAGGCTTTTTATTGCCTACACTATTTTTACAAACAGAATTCCTAGCACTAATAGTCAAGCTATTCTGCCTCTCCATTTTTAATATATCATTTTCCTGGTAACAAGAAAGAAGTCAAAATTGTTGAGAAAACTATCTCTCTGGATTTTTTTTAATAAGTCTAATGACAGAGGTGGGTTGCAATTAGAGGATAAACTTATGAGATTTTAAAATATAAGTGCCCTTTAAAATATAACCTTGAGTTAGATTGAGGCTATATGAGACTAAAGGTTATATGAGACTAAATTACTAAATTAC